GGTGGTGGGGCCTTTTTCATATCTGTGCCCAGGGGCCCACTCTCTCACAATACGCCCATGCTTGAGACCCTCAACTTACTTTGCCAGGGGGTCACTTTTGCAAAACGACAAAAGGCCAGGGGCAAGGTAATAACCTTAGGCAATTCATTTATTATATATTTATTATATACTCTTATTAATACATTAATGTTTGTTTTCATAGTTTTGACTTTTGCTGTGTGCAGGGGTGTTTCTAGAGCCCAGACCTCTTTTGGGAGTCCAGGTGATCCTCCTCTGGCACTTTTTTTATAATAAAAGCTCGGTTGTATGCCTTTCTGTGCACTCTGTGAATTAGAGAGTGTTCGGCGGGCCACCCAGCACCCTATTACAGGCCTGATTTAACCCGCAGGCCATAAATTGCTGGTGTATAACCTTTGCGGTTTGGATCAGACTTTGGGATTGTGATGTTATAACTCCACATCCAGACAGGCAGCATCGGGGGGGGAGTGATGATGAGGTGGAAGAGCTCAGTGCCAGTGTGTGTGTGCATGCAAGAAACCGTGCCGTGACCGTGCTCAGACTCAAATGTATCTGCACGGAAGATACATTTTAACGGCAGATTTTGTGACAATGCACAAACAGATACAAAGGCAGACACAAAGAGACACAGCTCAGTTACTTTCCTTTTTCTGTGGCAGCACCTCGATGGTTTTGAGCATGCGGCCTCCTTTAAGAACATGCATACATTCTGACCTATATATCCTGCATGCATCCGATCCACCCCCGTGCCCCCTTCCTGCAGCTTGGATTTTAGAGGCGCGAGGCACAGAGTGTGACTAGCAGCGTGACAGCAACGTGTGTGTTGGCCTCGAGAAGAGGGGGGCTCAACCCCTGATTTGAATCAGGGGTGCTGGTGTTGCTGTTGGGGGGAGGTGGATGGGGGGGGGGTACAAAGACTAGAGTGGCAACTGCGCCTCTCTGCAGCTGTGCGCCTACGTGAGCATCGGCAGGAACGCTCTCACTCCTCGCCTCACCCCCCCTCCCTTACTGGTTCTCTCGGTCTCTCTCCTCTCTCACACTCCCCCTCTTCCTTTGCTCATTTACACCTTCTAATAGACTTTCAACAGCCCCCCCCTTTCTCCTCTCCTTTTCCTCAATCAAAACTCCCTCACTTCTCTCCCACATCATGTTCCCAAGCGGCGGGGACCTTGACAGTGAGGGATGTGTCGTGTTCGTCCAGCCAACGGATATCTGAGACGATTGAAAGGGAAAGAAAGGAAGGCAAAGATAATCTTTCCCACACACACACACACACACACAGTTGATCTGGCCTGAAATGACCTAGAAGGGATATATGTGCACGTGTGTGTGTGTTTCACAAAAGCAAGTTTACTCATGTCATACGTACGCACATGCAGCAGCGTGTATGCCAACGCACACACTCATGTGACCACTACAGTATCTTGAGACTGTGTGTAAACACAGGACTTTAAGGCCAAGGTCAGAGGTGATAGTGTGCACAGGATTAAGCAGAAAGAGACTAAGGAGAAGGAGGAGGAGGGGGAGGAAAGAAGGAAGTAATTAAGATGAGGCAGACTTAATACAATGAACTGATAGTTGAAGGATAAAGGAGAGCAGAGCAATGAAGGACAGAATACAGACAGTTGAACGAGTCAGAATGGGAGAAGGTGATGCCAGAGGAGAGTAAATCATAACAGAGAGATAAAGACTGAGCCGAATCGGCTGACTGTCCTTGTGCTCTTCAGCAGGTGCATTTTTTGGCAGAGGATGGGAGTGGAAGGCCGCGTTGTCACGTCCATGCAGCCTGAAGAGCAGCACTGACCTCTACTGGCTAAACATGGACGTGTGCATGTGTTCATGTCGGCTGAGTGCTTAGCTTCCTCTTTGTCTTTATGTTTTTTGTACATTTTGTGAATTATTCTGAGAGTTAAGGTTTTACTCAGTCTGCCTCCCAGAGCTCAAGCTGGCTGAAGAGAGGATGGGAGCTATGTGCCAGGATACTCCTCGCTTTCTTCCTCGTTTGTTCTTTAAAGAGTTTGGTCGAGGGATTTTGTGTCTTGCCAATGAATTTACTTGCCATTGTCCCATTCCTAGAGAGTTTATCCTTGGATGTAGAGTTAAGGTGACCGTAGGCTACCAGACAGGAAGATGAAAAGTTAGAACACTCTCAACCATAGTTTGGTGCACTAATTCTAAAATCTGCTGACTAACACCGAGGCCAATGAGTTTCCTTTGAGCATCTCTTGAAAACACACTCAGTATTTCCAGAGGAGCTCACATGGGAGTCTAGAACTGTACCAAGGTATTTAAAATTTTCCACAGTTTCAGCACGTTGGCCATCGAGTGAAACCGACGCGACACCAAGTTTGAAGGGCCTTAGTGTGGGCCAGATAGGCAGCTTCACCCGATGGGTCTGTTTGCTGTAAAAGGCCATGTCATCAGCATATTTAAACTGCTCAAAATAATTATGGGAACATCGAAATCCACACAAGATCTTGATGAACAAGATGATGAAGTTGAAAATCTTTACTGACGTACGTTGTATAATTTGTTGAGAACAAAATGACGTAACAACATTGTCCTGCACCAGGAGGAACCCAGGGCCCACTGCACCAGCACAAGGTCTGACAATCACTCTGAGGATTTTATCCCAGTACCTAACAGCAGTCAGGGTACCGCTGGCTATGACATTGAGGTCTGAGCGACCCTCCAAGGATATGCCTCCCCAGACCATCACTGACCCACCGCCAACCCGGTCATGCTGGATGATGTTACAGGCAGCGTATCGTTCACCACGGCGTCTCCAGACTCTCACACCTGTCACATGTGCTCAGTGTGAACCTGCTCTCATCTGTGAAGAGAACGTGGACCTGCCAGTCCTGGTGTTCTCTGTTGAATGATGGAGCTGCACGGTGCTGGGCTGTGAGCGCAGGTCCCACTAGAAGATGTTGGACACTCATGCCACCCTCATGGAGTCTGTTTCTGACAGTCTGGTCAGAAACATGCACACCAGTAGCCTGCTGGAGGTCATTTTGTAGGGCTCTGGCAGTGCTCCTCCTGTTCCTCCTCACACAAAGGAGCACTGCCAGAGCCCTACAAAATTACCTCCAGCAGGCTACTGGTGTGCATGTTTCTGACCAGACTGTCAAAAACAGGCTCCATGAGGGTGGCATGAGGAGAGCTAGAAGGGCATCAACCCAGCAGCAGGACCAGTATTGATGCCCTTCTAGCTCTCCTCATGTAACGACCAGTCTCCTGGTATCTCCGGATGCTCTTGAGACACAGCAAACCTATTGTGACCGTGCCATCCTGGAGGAGCTGGCCTACCTGTGCAACCTGATTGGGCTGCAGGTACCGCCTCATGCTAATAACATGCACACTAGCAGAACACAGAACTAGAGAAGAATCAGTCAGGAGGGATAAGGAGAGAGCAACTGTCTGTAGCCACCACATGTAAAACCATTGCCGTTCTGGGGGTTGTCTTACTTTTGCCTCTCCATTGCATCTGTTGTCACTTTGATTTGCACCAAAGCATCTGTAACTGATTCACAATCACTTGTGCTTCCTAAATGGACAGATTGATATCCCTGAAGTTTAACTGACTTAGAATAGCACAGGGTAAAGAACACATTCTGTGGGCAGCCTGACCTCACACTGAGCTCATCTGACATGCTGCCCCGTCACAGACTCTCTGTAATAAAGTTATAAAGCAGTAATTGGCAAAGATCGTATTATAAGTTACGTAATACCCCAGTTTTATGCTGATAAATGATAAACGTGTCCGATACAGAACAGAAACCACCATCAGCTGAAACTTTCTTAGCAACTGGGAAGTGAATACTTCAAGTGAATAACAGCCAATTTCCATTTTAGGAACAAATGAACTTGGAAAATGTTTGGAAGCTGAAGTGAAACCATATTAGTGGTGATGTGTGTGTGCCAAAACACAGCAGCCTTCTGCTGAACGTGCAGAATGTTCATATGTTTGTGTGAACTGTAGGAGCCCCAGCCGTGCCTAAACTAGACTCAACAGGATCCATCAGTGTTTGTGGGTTATTAAGGTTAAGGCCACTTCTGTAATACGTGCATTTGGCTGTTGTAGGAGTCTTAAAGGGACAGTTCACCCAAAAATCAAAAATACAAATTTTTCCTCTTACCTGTAGTGCTGATTATCAGTCCAGATTGTTTAAGTGGAAGTTCTCGATCATAGGAGATATCGGCCACTGAGATGCCTGCCGTCTCTCTGATATAAAGAACTAGATGGCACTCAGCTTGTGGTGCTCAAAGTGACAAAAATACATACATTTGAAAAACAAAAATCAGGACCTGGTTACTTAAGATAATCCGCAGACCTTGTTGTGAGCAGTTTCACGTAGGAAATATTTTCTTCCCACCAAACGACACCCACCAACTGCATAGGAGGCGGGCATCTTCTGCCAGCTCACCTAACACCACTCAGCTGAGGAGGACACAACTGTTTACATCTCACAATGTTACAAGCATGAGCCTCTCATCCATGAGTAGATGCACGCTTCCTTCTGTGCAGTGGTACGGTTCGCAGGTGAAGTTTGGAAGAAAGAAAATAGTTCCTACATGAAACTGCTCACAACAAGGTCTGTGGATTATCTTGAGTAACCAGGTCATGATTTCTGTAAAGAGACATTGTTGTTGAGTCAATCTCTACAGCTGATATCTCCAACACTCTGCAACTCACACCAAAACAATCTAGATTGTTAAACAGCACTACAGGTAAGAGGAAAAATATGTGTTTTTGATTTTGGGGTGAACTGTCCCTTTCGCATAACATGCAGTTAACAGATGAGAGACGTTCTTGCAACAGTCCTCTGGCAGCACAGTGCTGCTCTATGAGATCATTTACTTTAAAAAGCCTGAGGAACAAAAGTGATCCAAGAACAACAGCTGTCGTCTGACGAGGTAACTCTACATCAAGATAAACACTGCTGCACCTAAATGATTCCAAACTAAATGAAACACAAACGTTTGCCTGATTGAAAAGCAAATGATTTATTTCAGTAAAGGCAAAAACACATCATTCACAGAATCATTTCTTATAAAAACTTTCATTTCTTAAACACACTAAAACGATTCTCAAGTAAAGGTGGAGTCAGCGATTCTGGAGGAAGATTGTTGATATTTTTAACAACCAAAAAAATAAACTATGGCAAATTTACCGTCCCTCTAACTCCCACTGCCTTTCTCTTTGTACATCCACAGCCTTTCCCTGCTCCACGCATGAGCATGAATGCCAGGTCCGAGCCACTTTGTTTGTCTCCCATTTACAGAGCCAGGGCTGTGTAGGAACATTAGAACTTTTTTTCAGCTTACACAGACAGCTTGTGGACCGTGGAGGCCAAAACACACCGGCAGCGAACACCACACTTCAAAAAATACGCCCCTATTATTTTTAATGTACATCCCCACACCAGCGGAGGCTAGACACGCGTTGGCGCTCCTGTACGCACCACCCCACGTCACTTTACGCCACTGTCCTATTTAAAGCCTCGCTGCCTTCAGAATTAAATGCATTTTCCCCCCACTTGCTCTCTGCTTGTACAGCCCCTGTAGCAGCTCTTTTCTCAGCTCCTATGGCAGCTCCACTCCTCTCCTCACCATTGATGCATAATGAGAACTCTGTAGCTGTTGCTGTGTCTCGTGTGTGACAAAGAATGAGATGAGGAGAGGCTCATTGTTGAGATCAACAAATATCCCGAGGTAAACAACCCACGATCCCCTCATCATAAAGACAATGGCCAAAAAGATATTGCCAGGCGAGTCGTCGCTCTGGAGATCGGCTCTTAAGTGAGAAATCAAGTTTGATAAGGGGCCTCCACATGATTTTAAGCTAACACAGATGTAGAAGAGGTATAGGTCTTTCAGTGAGTAGTGATAACTTGGCGTGGTTGTCTGCTGACGAGCCGCAGGGCAACATGTCCAGTGTTTGGTGGGAACGGCATTTGACACAAATGATGCTACTATAATGTATAAAATATCAACATGTCCAGTGTGTGGTTTAGGGTTAGGCTGGTATGTTTTCAGCTTGAGAAGATATTCACTGAATTTGACAAAAAGTGTATTGGATAAGAATCGCTGACTGCACCTTTAACAAAGCATTTAAAGTAAACATTCAGAAAAAACAGCAGTGCAGAGGCCTTTATCATCATCCTTTGTGCTTTCTGGACCAGTTAAGGGTATACTATGCAGGATTTCACCAAGGGAAAAAAAAAAAAAAAAAAAAAGTATAGACTCATACAGAAGTAATCCCTCCCAATCATCACTTATGACCCACTAGAAGTCTGCGTGGGGTATTTATCTGCAGAGCCTCTTCCCTTTTGCCTGTAATTCTTTTTTACTTTCTTCTTGTTTTGCTGTGTGCAGGGTGTTCTTGGACACAGCGCGCAGTTGATTTTAGGATTAAAAAACGTAGCAACCAGGTACCACAGCGTAAGCAGCACGCATCCAAGAGGAAGCTACAAAAATCATGTACACAATGCTGTGTGAAAAGCTCTGGGTGACTTTCACTTTTAGTTTTGCTGTTTACAAACAGTAGCGGACAGTTCCTGCATTGTATACCTTTAACACACACACACTACCCTGCTTTCTTAAAATGTGGCACAAATCATTGCTCTCCTTACTGTAACATGAAGTGTGTTTTGTTTTGGATGCTTAAACTTGATCATATTGATGCTGTGAGTGCAGAATTTGAGCGAAGGATCACTTAAAAAATGGAATAGTGAATCTAGATGCAAAACAGCTGTCCCTGAGCTTTAAGTGATTTTAATCCTTGTAATTCACAGGGCCATCACTTTAACACGACACAATTTACAGCTATTAAATGGCACTTTGTGGTAAAATAGAGAAATAAGTCCTTTAAGCACCAAACGATGTTCGTGTGCACTCCTGTCGGTTAAAACTTTATCAAGAGCTGCTGCACTGAGGCAGCAAGATCAGAGGAAAACACGAGGGGTGGCGTTTACATCGTCATCGTAGCCGAATCCCTGGAGTCTGCCATCTTTATAGAACCGGCGGAGGCTGAGTTTGGCAGGCGCAGACACGTACCACATGACCACACCTGTGGGGTTCACTGACACCACAAAGTCAGTGGAGTCTTTCAGCACCATGGTCTTGTCAGTGAAGACGTCGTAGATCTGAGGAAGTGTAAAAGAAAATAAGTGAGATGTTCACCTGCGATATTTATGTGTATTTGGTTAGCAAACTCCACTGCAGTCAAAAGTGATGTGGGCACCATTTAAAGATTTAGTGGGAGGATAGTCAGAGACAGTGGTGGAAATGGAGAATGCTACTGGAAAGCATGAGGATGAGTCAGAGCCTGGGTTAGGGTGAAACTTGAGGCATATGCAATTGTATCATCTGCATAAACATGGATGTTGAGGTTAGGGGTGGGTGATATATCGATTACACTCTACGTACTGCGGCTTGTTCCACACAGGTTGTATTAAATGATTATATCACAATTAGAGTATAAATTGTCACATCAGTTTTTAAGCCACCGAAATGAGACTCGCTTTCCCTCTCAAAAACACAAAAACAGGACTCAAATATGATACCTCACACACTTCCCTACCCATCTATACCACTCTCTCCTGACCGACAGTGTGTCAGCAGGTGAGGTGTGTGTTTGTGTATCCTCAGGGCTCCACGCTGCAACCATTAAGTCATTTTTTGCGACCATGGAGCACCAGTGCAGTTTGCAAATATTCTTAATACATGATCAGAGGGGTATTCCAGGTAGGAGGTTCAACAAACTCTGAGTCTAACCCTGAACTCTGAGTTGATTTACCCTGAGATGGGAAACTCTGAGTTACCGGTTCCAGAACAGCTGATCTGAGTTAGTTCAGTCAACTCTGAGTATGTTCACTCTGAGTTAAGCCGACAATAAAAAGCCATCATCAATGGAGCTCCGACTCCACGATTCACCATGGCAACAGGTAAATAAAAGACAGCGCCTCCATTTTAATCCAGTGGATGTAGCTATATTAATGCATGTGTAGCAGACGGTGCACGTTTATCTTTAAAAGAAGAGCCTGAGTCAGAGCGAGGAAAGTGTAAATAAGTTAACCATAAAGTTAATAAAAAAGTTTTATTCAGTGTTGTCCGTTTATTCATCATTTATCAGACTTACATTTCCTTAATGAAGATAAAGTGGCTGTGTATCAGGCTGTAGATACATTACCTTATATTAATATATTTGTTCAGATTTAATCTGATGGGGAAAAACACAGCAGGCAGCAACTGAAAAATAGGAAGATGTAAAACATATAGGCTAGGCTATAGATCAAAGACATAAAGACATGACTGTAAACTCACAGTCTGACCCAGTAATAATATGTTTGGTGATTTGCACTTGAAAAGACATTGAGGTTAAAATACATAGATTTTAAATTGTTGGACATCTATTTGTATCTTGACTCAACAGCATTCAGTGACTTTATTTCAGCTACAAATGTAGTAAATTTAAAGACACTGAAATGCTGCACCATTGCTCACTCAGAAATATTAACATATAATCCCCAATATTAGGCTGTAGGAATTATGTTCCATCAGTGCGACCAATGACATCAGCGATAGAGATCATTAGTCATTGATACTAGGTGTCTAAAACTTCATACCGATTTTTAAAATTTAAATAATTCGACCTACACATTATGTGCAGTAAACATGTGGGAGCTGCTCTAACAGACTGACAGTCTGATCCTTGTGCACAGTGTTATAAAAAATAATAAATATAAAAAGGGCAGAGGTTTGATTCTGAGCTGAGGGTGAATTCTCGCTGTGTAATATTTGAATGTTAAGACAAAAACCGATGTCCAAAGAAATGATTGATGTGCATAAATTCAGTAACTTAAGACAGTCCTGAGTAACAAACTAATATCCAGCAGGATTTAGACTGTGACAGACGGTAAATCTCCGCTAATTAACGCGCTTCAATACAAGCTTTGACACGGACTGAATGAATGAGGAAATGAAACAGTGTGTAAGAGGGAGGAGACAGAGAAAAACTCAGGGTTTATTGAAGAAAACCTGCCAGCAAGCAGGTTAGGTTCACAGACTCAGTTGCCATGGTGATTGACTCAGAGTTTGATTTACCTCTCTTTCTGGAACTGAAAACCCAGAGTTTCCCTCATTTCAGGGTTAACTTACTCAGAGTTTTCACTAAACCCGCTTTCTGGAATACCCCTCTGGAGAGCTGTTAGGTTGTTTTCAGCTCACAGAAAATAAATCTTCCCGTTCCTCACGTTTAATGGCTCTACTGTAATGGTTTAACTTTATTAAGTTAAATAAAGTAAATTAAGTTAAGAGTATGTTAATTTACTTTATTATGACATAACTTTATTTTACTTTATTACGACACTATAACTTTATTTCAGCAGTGCTTTATTTATTTTTAATTATAACACTACTTTGTTGCCATTGCCCCCCCCCCCTCTTTTTCCTTCTCTCGCTTTCCTTCTTGGTTTTATTATTATTATTGATTTATTTTTTATTTTTTATTAAATAAGTGACTTACTTCTCTTATATGGGGAAGAGCTTATTTAAGCTATAAAAGAAAGGTGATCATTAAGGTTCTTTTTTTTTTTGTGTTCAAATATTCTGTATGGAACGATTGTCTACCTGATCACTGCTTACCTTATTTTTGTTTTTTGTTGTTGTTTGTTTTATGACCTCTATAGTCATATTGCATCAGGTTAATTTTTGCATCAATTTATTTTCACAATTCCTTTTCAATTCTGTATTTATTTTTTTGTATTATTATTATTTATTTATTTTTTTTTATGTTGTATTGAGTACTAGTGTATGTGTGTAGGTATGTCTACAAAAAATGATGGAAAACTCAATGAAAATATTTGAATAATAACACTACTTTGTTCAATTTATTTTAACAATACTTTAACTTCATCATAACTGTACTTTATTTAACTTTATTGTAACCGTCGTTTAATTAGTAGTATTTTAGTAGTCTACAGTAGTTTTAAGGAAATTTCTGAATATCAAGATTTATACTAACTAACACGATACAGCCTAAAAATATTGCAATATTATTGATAGGCCACGTCGCCCAGCCCTAGTTAAAGTGCTGATTAAGAAGAACAATGTTATTTATGTATATGTAAAAAGTAATGGACCAGGCCCCTGGGAAAACCCCATTACTGATGGTAGGACAGTTTGACTCCTCTGGCTGCAGTAAACTAAGAAGTGATTCAAGTGTGACATGATCTTTGAAGACAGAAGTGGTTGGATGAGTGGGTTCAACAGACAAGGGATGATGTAGATACTGACTGAGGAGACAGGAGTATACCAGAGATGATACACTGCCTGCTTTAATCTCTGTCTGGAAAACATTTAAAGACCTTAAATACCTTGTAGCTGCCGATGGTGTAGTTGAGTTTTTTGAGGTTAGTCTGGTAGCGGTACGGCATGTCGGTACGACGACTGAAGAACACCAGAGCACTGTCATTTCTTGACAGGGGGCGCCAGAACACCTGAATGCCACTCTTCTCCTGCCAGACAGACATGGATGAGAAAATGTGAACAATGACACAAAGGATGAGAGGACACAAATATATGTCAACAGCAGAGGGTAGAAAATTAATTTATGCATCTTAATGTGCAAGATTCATGCACAAGTGTGTCACCTTCACAAGGCGCCTTCCTTGGATGCCCAGAGGGTCCTGGTTGATGGTGATGGCCATCTTGTTCTGCAGGATATTGCGAGCCCCGCTGCTGATGGTGCGCAGGTCATTGGACATGAAAAGAGGAGCAGCCATGATCGCCCACAGAGCCATCTGACTCCGAGACTGGTCCATGCTGAGGCCAAAGTCGCCAATGATCAGCTGTGGAGGTCAAAATCACACAATAGAGGAAGATGAAACAAGATTTCATGTCTGTAACACAGGGGCTTTCCTCTTGATCATGTACCACTGGCACTTTTAACCTTACTGATAATGTGAATATAATGTCGGTTATCATGTAAGCTGAACAGACCATATCAGGGTCGTTCCACCTTCCAGGTCCTGCTGCAGGTATCAGGACGTCCTGGTTCTCAAAGAACCAGTCGATAATGTTCAGGACACTGTCCCAAGAGTCCTGGATGTCGCCATAGTTACGCCACAGGTTGCAGATCTGGCCCAGCTGAGTGTAGTTTACCTAAAAACATAAACGAGTTTCACAAGAGAGGCAAAAATATTAAGTATTAGAACACAGTCCTCACAACAGAGTCTACTTCCACTGACATGAACTATGTAAACTGTCGGTGTAAAGCTTCAGGTAGATGATATAACCTTTGACACAGCCTGGTCTTACCTTAGGAGGCAGGCCACCCTGGTAGGCAGGCCAGCTGCAGGAGTATCCAATGGGACGGCCGGTAGCATTTAAAGCCTTTGACATGAGAGGATAACCTGTTAAAAGAAGAACAAGTGTTAAATCAAGTCAGCAGCATCTCAATAACCACAAAGTAAAAGCACTACTTCTTTTCTTACCCTGCGCTTGCTCTGTGGCGTTTGAATAACAGCCGTCAAATTTAAACATGTCCACCTCCCACTCTGCGAAGGTCTGAGCGTCTATCTCGATCTTGTCCAGAGGCGTGCCCGGGTAGCCCCCACAGGTGTGTGTGCCCATGTCCCCGTAGATCCCCAGCTTCAGCCCCCTGTCATGCAGGTAGCGTGCCAGTTTCGGGATGCCTCCTGGGAACCTGAGGAAGAGTGAGGGGAGAAAAGAGTTTTTCACAGAGCGACGTCCTTGCTTGTGAAACAACTGAGCCTGTTGAGGATATCTCTTTCATACCTTTCATACCCAGTCATCATGCTTTAATCTGTTACCAGTTCCAGGAGTTTTTTTAACCTTCCACAACTTTCTCAAGGCCGAAACACACAAGCTGCAAACACCACTATTATTTTCAATGTACAACCCCACACTGCCAGCAGCTTGAGGCGAGTCGGTGCTTCTGGATGTGCCGTCACATGGCACTTTACATCACTGTCCTATTTCCAACCGCGTCACCTCCGAAATTAAATGCATTTTTCCCCCTCTCGCTCTCTGCTTGTACATGCCAGCTCCTGTAGCTCCTTCTTCTCTGCTCCTGTGTCAGCTCGACTCCTCTAAAGAGAACTCTACTGCTGTCTTGTGTGGGACAAAGGCTGGACGAGGAGAGTCTCATTGTTGAAGTCAACAAATATCCCGAGCTAAACAACCCACGATCCCCTCATCATAAAGACAATGGCCAAAAAGATATTGCCAGGCGAGTCGTCGCTCTGGAGATCGGCTCTTAAGTGAGAAATCAAGTTTGATAAGGGGCCTCCACATGATTTTAAGCTAACGCAGATGTAGAAGAGGTATAGGTCTTTCAGTGAGTAGTGATAACTTGGCGTGGTTGTCTGCTGACGAGCCGCAGCGCAACATGTCCAGTGTTTGGTGGGAACGGCATTTGACACAAATGATGCTACTATAATGTATAAAATCTCACTAAAAAACCTTGGGAATAGTCTCTACTGATACAGTTCACTGTGTGTTTGCGAAGCTCTAAATCTTTAGAGCCTCCAGATGTGTATTTGAGATAATATCCATGGTGTGATTTATTGTTTTCACTACCAAATTCCAGCTGTCTTTATCATACTGCTGATGCTGCATAACACATCAGACACACCACACGGAGAAACTACTGACTCCTAATGTTGTCTGTCATATGACTGTCACACTGTCATCACCTTGTTTAACTGCTTTATTGACTCAGAGGTTTACAGATTAATGTTTGCACTGAGGAACAACAGCCTCTGTGTGGTTGTGTGTCCGTCTCTGTGAGCAAACAGCACATTCTGTATACACCACTACCTCTTAGGGTCGGCCTGCAGACGTCCCTTCTCGTCTCTCTGCATGGACGACCAACAGTCGTCTATGTTCACGTACACGTAGCCGAGTTCCCTCCAGCCGTCCTCTGCGAGTCTGTCGGCCATGTCGATGAACAGATTCTCACTGGAGGAGAAGACAGAAAAGTCTTGATTAGGGTTGTTACTGTTTTCAAGGTATACCGTGATATTAAAATTGTACATTTGCTTTTCTGCGATATTGAAAAAAACACAACTGGACAAAAAAATCTTAACTTTGTTTTAGTTATTTCCAAAAGGTAGACTTTTACACATACTTTTATAAAAAAAATGGCTTCAAATTTCAGATATACACTCACCGGCCACTTTATTAGGTACAGCTGTTCAACTGCTTGTTAACGCAAATAGCTAATCAGCCAATCAAATGGCAGCAACTCACTGTATTTAGGCATTTAGTATTGTAGGATGTCTGCAGTTCACCTCACATTACTCGTGAAACATTTACCTGATTGGCTTCATTTCAATATCAGATCTCACAGTAAGCAAACCTGATTCAGACCCTGAACTTAGTGTGTGTACTTAATCTTAATAATTCTTAATCCTAATATCTCAAACAGCAAAGTCCACTTAAATACGAGACCATTCTTTTAAATAGCACCTGCTTAAAAAGAAGTTTTGGTGCGATCACAGTGTTCATATTCATGCTGCTTCTTGCCTGATGCAGTTCTTGGGGTCGTGCTCACAGTCGATGTCACAGCGGAATCGTTCCCACGCCAACCAGCCCATGGGAGGCGTCCTCATCACTCCATTGTCCAGGCCCAAGGTGGCCACACAGAGCGCTGACGCAAACAGAAGCCCCGTCACATGCATTCCTGCAGAGATACAAACCACTCAGGTAAAGTTAAATCTGTGTGCTGGGTGACACCAGGTTACTGTCAGTGTGTGTGTGCACTCTGTGTGCCAAATGACAGGCATCTCTCACACACAAACACACCTGAGTGTCACCTGACTGGGTGTGACGGTGGCAGCAACAACCTGCCAGGTGACTTCTACCAACAGACAGTATGAAGACAGACTGAATCCAAACCAGCACTTACTAAAGGATATTAAGTTATTACAACATGGCAGATATAAATAAATATGCTTATTAACATCATTAACATCTCATTTGACTGTAAGATGTATATGTTGATACCTGTGTGGCACCAAACTGTAGTTTTCTAATGCAGTAGCTAAAAAGTGACTTAATAGATGATTCATCTTTTAGGGGATACACAGACAATATCTGTTGGCATGCACGTGCTTAATAAACATTGTAAAAAGATAAAGGTACTTACTGAAATCCAGTGAGCCGTTCACAGCTCTGAGGCGAAAGACGGAGGAGGATGCACTCTACTCTCCTCAACTCTTCTTCTTCCTCCTTTTCTTCCTCTTCTTCCTCTTCTTCTCTCTCTCTCTCACCTTCACAGACACCCTGTGCTAAACAGACTCTTTAACTGAGTGTAAAGAAATAAACTGATCCGCTCCTCTCGACTCCAATTGAAAGGAAGCGACAGTCACGTGACAGCAGCACAGTCAGCTGACTGCAGAGCAGGAAGTCGGAGGGGAAAGACCCGGGCCGCGTCCCAATATTAATATCTTTTACCCTCTCTCCTCGGTTCCTTCCCTTCAATGTGTCCTTTCCCTACTTTGTAAATCAATTTCTTTGACAGGAATCAGTGAGATCTACATCTGCGTTCATTATGGTCGTAAAAATATAAGTTGCTGTGTCACTTTATGGTTAAGACAGAATTTATTACATATTTATGAGCTTTATGACGTCATTAATGGTTAATAAGTCATTTACTGCAGCTTTATAGAGCAGTTCTGATAAGCCATTCATAAAAATCCACCTCCAGCATGTCACTGAGACATTAATTACAGTTATAAACTCTTTGTAATTGGAGCCTTAATAATAACAATAATAATAATAATTATTATTATTATTATTATTTTATTATTTTCAGTGAACAGCATGATTGAAAATCCTTTGAAAGGGCAGGCATAATGAAAATAAATAATCCAAGTGTAAACTGAAAAAAAAAATAGATCAAATAGTAAGAACAAAAGGCAAAAT